ACCAGCCCAGCCTGCGGATTCTCTGCGCGGGATGACGCCCAGGCAGTCACCGCGGTCGCGCCGTGGGCTCATCAGATGACTGTGGGGGCTCCAGCCTGATGCACACCACCTTCCCGAGGACGAGAGAAGGAGGGAGCACAGGATGCAGCGCTCGAGTCCCTGCATCTCCCGTGCATGCCATTGGCTCGTGCACCGCCGAGCACATACAATTTGATTTTCTTTTTAAGCCCCTTCAAGAAAAAGCAAAACAAAACTGCTGCCTCATTTCTCCTCGGGCTGATTTCATTCCGCTTCCCTGGAAGATGCATCTGGCAGAGGCAGGCGGGGGGAGCTCATTCACAACGCCGCTGCTGTTGCCGCCACCGCCGCCGCCACCCGGGCCACTTACTTTCTTTGCTCTCAGCGGCGGCGTCCTGGCCGGCCCCTGGGTGCCTTGAGCCAGTGCTCAGCAGCCGGGCAGCCTCTCCAGCATGTCTGCCTCCTTCCCCCGGCTGGCTCCTGCGCCGCCCGCCCCCCTCTTCCACATCCCATTGTGCCCCGCTCGCCTATCCCGTTAGCCCCCCCAGCTCCGCCTGCACCTCGCTGCCGCCCAGGCTCCTCCATGCTGCCGGGATCCGGGAGCTGGATGATTAATTGGCTATGATGATGAGCGTCCCTGGCGGAGGAGCAGCCACCGTGATGATGACGGGCTACAATAATGGTCGCTATCCCCGGAATTCTCTCTACAGTGACTGCATCATCGAGGAGAAGACAGTGGTCCTACAGAAGAAGGACAATGAAGGCTTCGGGTTTGTGCTCCGAGGGGCAAAAGGTAAGAGAGCCTGGAAACATTCACACGTGTGTGTGCTGTGTGTGTGTGTGTACACCCCTGTATGAAGAATGTTCCCCAGCTTGGAAATAAGCATTAAATAAGCATTTTCCTAAGGGCACGCGGTTGCTAGACAACAGTGCTCTTTACCATTCTGCCTTCCTCTGAAAACATCAGGGCTTACTTTAGGCATATTTTTAATTTTCCATACACAGTATTGCTCGGAACAGGCTCTCTCCCTTCCTTCCTCCCTCCCCCACCTCGCTTTAATCATGGGGATAATCAGTGTCTTATGCTTTAGTTCAGCTACATTGTGGCTGCATTCAGAACTCCTCATTTCAGATGCACAGAATCACCAGCCCTGAGTTTCAGGTTCCGAGAAACTGCCTGCCCTGGAAGTGGGCTTCAGCTCCAAGGGCAGGAGCCTCTGTGTGCTTGCCTCTAAGGTGACTTTGCAATGGAAAGGTGGCAAGATGGTCCCCTCTGCCATGGACTGACTGGGCTGGCAGCACATACATCCCGTGGCTTGTGGTGGGAGGCTCTGGGATGCGGTCCACAGCAGTGTACCCACCACATGTCCTTTATGTGGGGGCCTCCTGTCCAAATAAGACAGAGTGGCATCACCCCTCATGAGAGGAGACAGCAGTCCAGCGTACATGTTGAGGTCGGCCATGTGGAAGTTGCATCTCGGAGCTCCTGTACTGCGCTAGAGTCCCACACCTGTGTGCAGAGAGGCTCCTTCCTGGCTGGCGGGCCCATCTGCCTTCTGCCCATGCAGCCCCATGGAGATCTGTACAGAGAGAAGCTGAGTCTGTCCCTCTGTCCCCCATGCATGTCCAGGCCCATCTTCCTCCCACTGCCAGGCATCTCCATGTTCCCAAAGCTCACCCCCAGCCTCTCATGACTACCAAGAAGATTCCTCTCTTTCCCTAGAGTTGCACTTGGCAGCCATGTGGGCCCCAGCAGCCAAGCATTGCTCTGCTGAGGAGCAAAGGTCCAGCCCTCCCATGCATGCTGGTTCCAGGGTGGTCACAGAGAGCCAGGCAAAGCAGTCATGAGCAGATTTCACATCTACAGCCACCTACTGGGTCAGCATTCTGTTGCATCTGTGTTCGGAGTCGAATCCCCCTTGGTCGCAAGTCTACGTAGATTTAAAATTGGCAAGTGGTTCAGTGTGGTGTTTCTCTAGCTCTGTGTGGTATGGGAGGAACTTTTCCATTTTTAGAAATGAAAATGTTTAGTCATTGATGCTTTTAAAGAAAATGACAGGCGTGTAGACATGTACTGCAGAGCACGTTATTCTATGGTGTCGGGGGAGAGGCCCAGAAGCATGGTGATGACAACAACATGCAGGTGGCTTCATGGTTTGAGTTAGCATCGACCAGGAATATTATCCTCAAGCCCTTCCCTGTGGGGAGTTGGCCCAGACCATCTCTCCCAGCAGGAGACACAGGGACCTCTTCTTCCCAGGGTACCCCAGGGGAGACAAGATGGCCAACTTGGAAAACATCAGCCAGGCTTCTAATGAGGTGCTCTTTGTCTTCTCAGCTGACACCCCCATTGAAGAATTCACACCAACGCCTGCATTCCCAGCCCTGCAGTACCTGGAGTCTGTGGACGAAGGTGGGGTGGCATGGCAAGCCGGACTAAGGACAGGGGACTTCTTGATTGAGGTAGGGATGCTGGTGTTTGCGTCACTCGCTTGGGGAGAGCGCTGACTCTCACTCGGTGGGGGGCGGCCATAGTCATGGTCACGGCCGTACGACCTTACCTGGACTGAGCCGGAGTGCTCGTGGAGGCTGCTGTAGGCTGCTGTAGGCTTGTGCTGTGCGGCTCTCTCTACCCCGTGTGGATGTTACCTCCTGTGGTCTGAAGTTTGACTTGACTTTGAGGCTCTGGCTGTAATTAGAAGGAGGAAATGTATGTGGAACTTGGCCATTGGTGTTGAAGTAGAAGGGAGAAAGAAGAGACATGGTTGCCATGATGTTGGAGATGTGTGTGGATCTGTGGGTGGTTTAGTTGTGACTCTATAAATACACACCAAGAGGAGTCATCGCCCACTCCTATGTCCTAAGGGCCAGCCAACAAGCCTGATGTGACGTTTAATGGCACCAAGTCTGTGATTGGTGGCTCAGAGTTGGTGGATGTGCAGTCATTGGATGGGTGATAGTCTTCAAAGACCATGGAGCATGGGGCAAGAGGGGTGGCTGGCGTAGAAAGCATAAAAAGGAAGCCTTGGTAAGCAGGTACTTGAAAACTAGTTTTTGGTAGCACCGGAAGGGGGGACCCCTCCTCTGCATTTAAAGAATCCCATTGGAGGCAGGTGCCTGTGACCTGTGGACCTCACCTGTAATTTGCATGTGGGATGTACAAGGTGTCTGAATCCCCAGAATGTAGGAGTGTCTTGGCTCCCTGGGAAAATTAGATGTCACTTTCAAACTCATGGTGCCCAGGAATGTGCTGCTCTTTGAAAATATGAAGACTCAAAGAATGTTGTAGGTTGGGAAATGATTCTTTTTAAAAGGTCTGGCAGAATGGCCTTCATTGGGAGTTCACATTTCTGGGACAGGTGTTCCTCAGGGCTCACCTGAGCCCTGCTTCCTGTGAGTCAGAAATCCATGTACAGGTAGAAGGAATGGAGTGGTGGCCTCACCAAACAGACACACGTGTACTCTTTGAAGGAAGAGACCACATCCTGGTCCTGCTGAGATGGCCACTTGAAGCCATTTCCCCATCACACTTGAACTCCCGACGATGCTTTTCCAGCTGTGACTTTGCTGTGAGCATAAGCCTATCGAGAGGCAATGGAAATCCAAAGGAAAGAGAAAGCCAGGTAAGGTGGAGAAGGTGTGTTAACTTATTCCAAACGTCTCGTGTTGATCTTATATTATTTCCTGAAAAGACAGATTTAAATTAGCCTTGACCAATCAGAGCCAGATTTGGATGAGGAATGAGCTAATTCTGGTTCTTGTGTGTTGAAACTGTGGGATGTAGAACAGTGGAGATGCAGAACTCTTCCAGAACAGTAAAGCCTGGAGCCCACTGCAGCTCCGTGGGTTCATTCGGTTTGTAACCCTCATAAAGATGCAGAGACTAAGTTGAATCATCTTCTGTAGGATGCAGTTGTGATGTAAACCCCCTTCCTGTGTGTGAGAGGTGACAGAGATAGAGGGGGTGTGGCCTTGGGCAGGGAGGCAAGGCTGGGGGTCTCTGAGTGGTGAGCAAGTGTGCGAGGCTGACAGAGAAAGGGCCCCGGTCGGCTGTCAGCGGTTGGTACTGCTCTTGGCTTTTAATAATAAATGAGGGCTGCGGATGCACACCCAGACGCGTTGTTCAGCTCACTGGTTTATTTCCTTGTAAGCCAGTCAATGAAGGAACGTGGCCGGAGAGGTGTGAGTGCTGCTGGTGAGCTACTGGCCTAGTGGGTGTTGCCGAGGGCGCTTGGACCGGCCATAGAGGCGTGATATCCTGTCCTGTCTGCTAAAGCCTCACAAGAATTTGATGCATCAGGAGCTCCTGACCTTCTATTGTCAACGCACCTCCTTTGACATTGATTTTAACCTCTGATATGCAAATATATTTGCCATTTTAGAGCAGGTTTTTAATTCTGGGGAAGCTCTGAATATCAGGATTCCAGGAACTACCAGAGATTTTGCATTACGACTGTGTCAGGGTTCAGAGGTCAGACGTGACCCCAGGAAGGGCTGGGCCTTCCACGGCCATGTCCCAAAAGGCTGCTGACTTGGGGTTGTACACTGATGGCGGGATAGGGTCAGAGCCCTGGAGGAACTGACTCCTCCCACTTCACTTCCCAGCCTACCTCGAGGGGACTCTGAAATCCCCCACTAGTGCTTGGATTTACTGAAAATCCCTGTTGAGTTGTTTTCCTAGCTCTGGATTTCATCACTGAAATATTAAAATCATTTATAGCCTTAGAGAGGCTTATTTCTTCCAACAGTTTATCTGTATTTTCCATGAAAAACTTGACCTTGGAGGGATTATTTTAAACAGCCTCCTGTGTCCCATGTGGATTTCGATGTGGGCATGAGCTGGTGGGTTTTGAGCTCACTGGGAGGCCAGAAGTCTCCACGGAAAAAGCTGCCCAAAGTCCCCTCATGTAGCCCTCATTCCCCCCTGCAAGCCTTCTTTTTGTTCTATTTGAAAGAATCTCAAAAGTATGTCAGACATTTTAGCTTCTCTCTAAGAGTGAATGCTGTGGTTTAAACCTTTGGACCACGGGGCCACTTTTGAAGTGAATGTTGGCTTTTAAAGTCTTCAGCATTTACAGGACTTCATTTTTCCAACTCTAACTTTATCAGAGCACCCTGACATTGTCATCTTGCTCCGAGCCAGATACCATAATGAAGGGTCTCCCGGGGTGCATGATTTTCCTGGGTATTTGCTTTCTAGAGTTTCTTCCTTCCTGCCCTGCTGAAGCATTTGGGAAGTTTGTTCTTTTGTTGGGGTTGTTGCTTCTTTGTTGACCACACCCCCGCCACACACATACCCAAATCAAAAGCTTTGAGTGACATTCCCTGTGAATAATTGATTCCAACTGGGAATTACACTGGGACAGATAGTCGTCAGTGTGTGAGTTGAGTTGTCATAAAACATCTCAGAGGTGGGCAGGGAGGATAAGTGTGTCACTGTGGGTGAGGATACTGGATCATGGTAGCTCTGCAGATTTGTGTACAGCATCCATTAGCACCTACGGGGATTTGGTCCCAGGACCCCAGGGGTACGAAAGTCTGAGATTGTTCAAATTTCTCATGTAAAACAGTTTGGTATCTGCATGTCATCCGTGTACATCCTCCCATACACAGTTTAAGTCATCTCTAGATTACTTCTAATACCTAATACAGTGAAAACGCTTTGTAAATGGTTGTTACATTATATCGTCTAGGGAACAATGATAAGAAAAGTATATTGGCACATTTAATACCAAGGCCTCCTTCTTTGAGTGTGTTCCACCCACAATTGGAAGAATTTGTAGACATGGAGCCCATGGATGTGAATGAAGGACCATATTTACCATCCTCGAATCAGCTCGTTTGCTGGAATCCCCTGGGGGTCAAAGTCACTGAGCCTTCCTGGTGGGAAGTGTCAGCCAGTCTGGAAACAGGTGGCCAGAGAGGTTCCAGAGGCCATGGGAGGGTACAGGGTGAGCTTTTCTGTCCATGCAGGTTACGTATAGAGATGGGGACTCCACCAGCTAGGAATGAGAAGAGCCCGTGTCCCTGCTAGGGACAACAAGAAGCCCCGTCCACACTGCGTTCTTAACACACAATGTTAAGGGCTGAAGCAACCGAAGTTTCCATGTTGAGTCAGCTTCAGGAAAGTTTGCCGGCAGCTTTGTCTGCCATCTCTTTGGGATTATCATGGTTGGGCCTCCTTACTCCCAAGAGACCCAGAGAGAGAGGTGAGAACTCACTCCCGAAGTTTACATGGATTCATGAGTCAGGTGTGGTAGCTGTGCCTGGAGTCACTAAGGAGACAGGGTATTTTGTGTCACTTGCAAGTCCCACAGGGCTCACCAAGAGCCTTGTCTCATAAGACCTGGCTTGGCATCAGTCACCTGAGGCCTGTTAGCCAGGGCAACCTAACTCCAGACCACACCAACTGGATCAGAGCTGGGAGCCAGAGTCAGGGAGGCTGTGCTCTTAGAAAACCAGGGTGAAGCCACAGGGTACTGGTGGGCAGGCAAGACAATGGCCTGAATGGGGTGGAATTTTGCACCTCTTCATTTGTCACTTTAACTCACCTCTCTCTGTCCCAACCAGAAGCAAAACTGTACTAACGTTGTTGTATGATTAGGACTTTTTCCCACAGACTTCCCATTTGGAAACCTAAGTTGTTGTTGTTATTGTTGTTTTCTTGAGTTACTTTCATGAACTTAGCAGTAAATATCTAAGGACAAACAGCAATGAATATCCCCAAAAGCCACATCCTTATTTATGGCCATTGAGAGTGTTTCTGCCAAGCCCTGTACCGACCCATCTAGTTCACACCGCAATCCTATAAAATACACCTGTTGTCACCTCCATTTTTTTTTTTAGTACCAGGGATCGAACTTGGGACCTTACACTTGTGAAGCCCAGTCGCCTCCATTTTATAGATGAAGAATCTGAGCCATAGAGAGGTCACATTAGTGGACCGTGATCTTACAGCTGGTAAATTGAGATGCTTTATCCCCAGCTCAAGATCCATGACAGACTTGGATAGGCTTTATGTATAAAAGGGCAAAGGGTAAGGAAATAAACAAAGCATGCACTACCAATTTTTATTTTCAAATTAACAAACACTTTTATTAAATTACTATACCCACTGCCTCTGACAGTACTCTCATGTTGCTAGGTAAAAGAATAAGTTGTCATAAACTGTAGAAATCAGTGTGATCGAGTGTTATGGAAACCCTACAGCTCAGCTGAGAATCACATCCAGTAATCCATCCTGAGGGAACTGTCTAAAAAGCAGGTAGCAATCACAGTGTAGAAAAAAAATATGAATAAGTTTTAGAGAGACAATTGGTAGAAGGGAGGAAACAATAGGGAAATGGTTAAGGGTACGGCAAACATCTGTTTTAGATTCATGAGAAAACATTAAAAATTATTCCTACAAGGAGTTCTTAATACCAGTAAGAAATGACTGCATTACATTTTATGAGAAAGGCAGA